AATGGACAAAAGTGAGAAAGGGTGAAAAACCCGTGAGCCATTGTCCATTGTGGGTGTGGRACTGCCCTGAATGGCCCTGAAGGCCMTCAATAAACAGAACTGCTTTGGATTCTCTGAATTCTGTCCAGACTCTGGTTTAGGTGAGCAGGGTTTAGGCATCACYAACACCAGAGTTAATGCTCTCAGGCACACGGTGGGACTCTTGGGAATGTCCTGTGCAGGGCCAGGAGTGGGACTTGATGATCCTTGYGGGTCCCTCCCAGCTCAGGACATTCTCTGTGATCCCACGAGCCACAACGCACCAGGGCGCTAGCACAATTTTCCACTTGTGCCTTTCCAAAGATCAGAAATCTGACTTTCTACCCTCAATAATTGCCTSTCCCACACCCCAGATCTGTCCCCACCGTGCCAGCCTGGCTCTGTGCTCACTCTGCCCGTCCCTGTGTGTTCTGTTTCCCCAGCTGCACGAGGAAGGAGCGGTGCGAGCGCTCCAGCGAGCCGCGCAGATTCGCCTCGGAGATGAAGCAGTGCGTCCGCCTCACCGTGCACCCCAACAACATCTCCGTCTCCCAGTACAACGTTCTGGTGAGGAATACCTAAATACCYATCCCTCCCTGCCCTTCCCCTCGGGTTTAACCTGCCTGTGCAGTGTGACAGATCCGGGTTTCCAGGACTGGTGGCAAGAGGTTCTCCAGACTCTGTTAACATACCCCCAGAAACTTTCCTGGCACTGGGAAGGATTTTCCACAGGACATTTTAGCATTGGTTATGATGCCTTAGGATTTTTAGTTTCTATATTTTCATGCAACTGTATTCTTGTATTTCTCTAGTGCAACACTAAAAACTACCATTATCCCATCTTTAGATAAAACAATTCCTCTCTGAGCCTGAATCCAAGGACACCTCGCTGCCTCAGAGCCCCAAAATATGGAAACAACAGAGAGCTGGKGGGGAGCAACTTTGGGGTAGTTGATATCATCACCTGTAAAGATCATTGRAGAATTAAGGCCCAATATTAATAAGGCAGAACTTATAAAAGGTGAAGATCTTGTGACTCAGTGTCCATTTTGGGTGTAGCCTCAGGAGGAGGCTTTGTCTGCCCTAATGTACCAGGGRGCTGTTAGGCCTGGATTAAAGTTGTCTATTCTCATTCTCTTAAGTTTGTCTGGCCTCTGTTTCAGAGTAGCCTGATTGATAAGGCATCAGTTATTCCCTGTTTAGGAGTTTAGAAATGGACTGGGAAGAGCTTTCCTTGTCTGTGAGGGCAGGTCTGAAGGGACTCTGTGCCCTGCAAGTGGTGTGTGCTGCCCTGGGAGAGGAATTCATTAATAACTTCAGCCAAGGGACACTTCCCTGGTTAGAWATTGCATTCTAGAAGAAAGCCAAGTGAAAGATAATGTGAATTATTTCAGTGAGCTCCAAGTTCCCATCATCCTGGATGGAAATATCTCCTAAACCCCCAGGAACTCAACACTGCCCTAGCACCAGGCATGCAGAGCAGGAGGCTGTGCAGAGGAATACAAGGCTTTCAGGGTTCCTGCTCTCTTGTGACCTTCCCCAGCACGAGGTTTAACCTTTCTGGCCTCGAGCTGCTCAGTCAGTAGCCAAGGAAACCACACAGCGAATTCTGGCAGAGCAGCAGATACCCTGATGGTTCCTGGGCTTGAGGCAGGGAATGTCTGCTGAAGATCTGAGCAGTTTGTGGTTTCTCTCCTGACTCATGGCAGCAGCACCTGATGTGCTGAGATTCCAACTCACTCCAAGAAGGAGGCAGACACTCCTTTCTTTCAGACTACCAGCGCTCTGTCTTTTTTTTTTTTTTTTACCATGCTAATTTGGACAGCAATTAAGCTGGTAACCCAGGTCCTAAAAGCTCCATCTCCAGACAAATTGGTCATTAACCCCACATCCTGAAAGGCTTAAATGGAATTGCTCAGGGTGCAGTTGCTGGACACCTTGCAGGTGACAGGTTTTGGATTGCCAGGGCTTCTCCAGGGATAATGAAATCAGCCTTTCAAAGCCTTTGTGTCCAATCAWCGCTGCTTTGTTTCAGCCTCTTAACTTCACTGTGACTTTACTTTCCTGGGCTTCAAACAAAACTGATCTGAGACATCTTAAGGTCTTTGTTCTTCTGGGAGCTCAAGGTTTCTTTCCCATATTCTCTCAGTAGCTGCTGAATTCTTTCATGTTGGAATAAATCCTGGGGGACTGGCTGGCTCGGGGCGACTGGAAATGATAACAGGATAAGAGACCTTTGCCTCTGGGTTACTGCCAGGKTGAGTCAGCCCAGAGCTGCTGGGATCAGAAATTCCATCCTCTGTTACCCAAGAACCTGGCATTTTGATGGCATTCTCAGCCCAGTCCCAGAAAAAGCAGTGACCCAGCTCATGCAGGCACCACACAGGCAAAGCAGGAGGGGAAAAAGCAGAGGGTTGATGGTGTCTTTGGGAAATCTCACCTGAGTTTGAGCAAAGGGTCAGGCATGGTGGGTTCTTGTCCATGGAACTCCATGGAGGCAGATGGCTCATGGAGGCAGAGCAGATGTTTGTGTGGTCAGCCAAACTTTTGGATTTTGGGAACTAAGAGTGTCTTGGAAAATCTCACCAGAGTTCAGGGATGGTGAGTTCTTGTCCATGGAGCTCCACAGAGGCAGATGGCAGATGGTCTGTGGAGGCAGAGCAGGTGTTTAGGGCCAGCTAAGCTTTTAGATTTTGGGAACCAAGAGTGTCTTGAAAAATCTAACTGAGTTCAAGCAAAGGGTCAGGGATGGTGGGTTCTTGTCCATGGAACTCCACAGAGGCAGATGGCTCATGGAGGCAGGGCAGATGTTTGTGTGGTCAGCCAAGCTTTTGGATTTTGGAAACCAAGAGGGTCTTGGAAAATCTCCCCAGAGTTCAGGGATGGTGAGTTCTTGTCCATGGAGCTCCATGAAGGCAGGTGGCAGATGTTTATGTGGTCAGCCAAGGTTTTAGATTTTGGGCACTAAGAAGGTCTTGGAAAATCTCCCCAGAGTTCAGGAATGGTGAATTCTTGTCCATTGAGCTCCACAGAGGCAGATGGCCCATGGAGGCAAAGCAGATGTTTATGGGGTCAGCCAAGCTTTTAGATTTTGGGAACCAAGAGGGTCTTGGAAAATCTCACCTGAGTTCAGGGATGGTGAGTTCTTTTCCATGGAACTCCACAGAGGCAGATGGCAAATGGCCCATGGAGGCAGAGCAGGTGTTTGGGGTCAGCCATGCTTTTGGATTTTGGAAACCAAGAGGGTCTTGGAAAATCTCACCTGAGTTCTAGCAAAGGGTCAGGGATGGTGGGTTCTTGTCCATGGAACTCCATGGAGGCAGATGGTTTGTGTGGTCAGCCAAGCTTTTAAATTTTGGGCATTAAGAAGGTATTGGAAAATCTTACCTGAGTCTGTTCCAGTGCAGGGCTGCTGCTCTCTCTTTGAGAAGATCTGCTTGCTGGGGGAAGGCTCCATGCTTTCCCTGCTTTCCCAGGTCTGTGGGATGTAGGAATTGTCTGTTCATGTAGGAATTGTCTGTTCAGGGTGTGCACTGGCTCGTGGTGGCCATGGCCAAGCACAGATTTGCCCACTGGTGTCATCTCCTGCATGGCACACCTTCCTGCTGCATCGTCCCTGCCCAGAGGGAGGTTGGTTAAGSAGAAAAGATTCTCTTTCTCCACTGCTAGCAGGGAGAATGGATTCAGCCTGAGTGCTAAATCCATCCAAATAACCAAAGTGTTTTTCTACTCCAATCCAAGACCAAAAAAATCACCTTTCCATTGCCACTCCCACGGCCCAAAATTGATCCTACTCTCACAAAAGCCTAATGTCAGCCAGTGCTAAGGCCTGTCTGCTCAGCTTTTCTCCCTGGTGATCCTCAGAGTGGAGAAACATCTCCAGCCTTTCCCTAAGTGAGGAAAACACAGTGAGAGAGCACGGAGAGCTATGTGCTGTTCTCATCCTGTCCTGCTTTGTCACCTGGACTGGCATCTGCTCTTTGTGCTGGCAGAAACAACACCTCAGCATGAACCTGTTTCTCCTTTTGGGGGCTGTCACCTCACAGAGCTCAGGGAGGAGGCAAATGTGGAGAAATCTGCACTTGTGCCTGTGCCCAGTGGTTGSCTTCAGTGTTTGGTCACAGAAATGCTGAATTTACACCAATTCCAGGTGCTAGGGGTGCCCTGGGTGTTCAGGTGTGACCTGGTGAGTTGAGCAGAGCCCTCAGTGATGGAATGCTGTGGGCAGGACCTTTGTTTGGAAAGCTGGCAGCACGACTGTGCTCTCCAAAAACATGGATGTGATGGAAACCAGCCCTGTGATCACTTTTCCCATCACCATGAGCAATGCCAGAGGATGTTGTGAACTCTAAAAACACAGCCAATTCCTCCTTCATGCCTTTTTTTTTTACACATGGAGCCCCAGGACGGCACGAGGAGCCAACTGGGATGGTCAGGAGAGGTTTCTGTGCCTGTAGGAGCAGGGATTTTATTTTTGTAGCAGACTGAAGGCTGTAACTAGACTCTCCTCACACAGGAACTTGGGGACAGGGTGCTCCCCGCTGCTGGCGCTGGCAGAGCTGGCCGTAGAGAGTTAGACTGGAGCGCTCCAGTTTCTCTGGAGCCCGCAGAGTGCCTCTTGTGAGTAGCAGTCGCCTTCCTCAGAAACCGTGGGCCCTCCAGAGCCTCCCTGCCTGCCCCGACACCTGCATGCTGGACAGAGAGCACTCCCTGCCCCTCACAGCCCCCTGGCCAGCACTGGGGACATGGGACAGCTGTCCCTGCACTGCCACCACAGCACCTCGTCCCCCCTCCCCTCCTCACTGCCCCGTCCCCATTTGCTGCTTTCTGCCGAAGGAGGATGCTCTCTCTTCAAGAGGCTCTGTGTCCGACCTCTCCAGTGTAATTCTCTCCTGCTGGCCCAGCTCTGGTGTTTGGCTGAGCCTTCTCTTTTTTCTCTTTTCCCCTGTTTTTCCCTTCTCCCCCTCTGTCTTGGCTTGCAGCTGGTGCTGGAGACCTACAACGTGCCCGAGCTGTCGGCGGGAGTCAACTGCACCTTCGAGGACCTGTCGGAGATGGAYGGGCTGGTGGTGGGCAGCCAGATCCAGTGCATCTCCCCAGCTGCCAARGAGGTTCCTCAGATCATCACAGAGAACGGTGAGCACCCCACAGCTCCTCTGTGTCATCTCTCCCACCATCCTCACCCACACCCTGCATCCCCCTGCTCCTCMCAGAGCAGGATTTGGCTCCTGAGAGCCTGAGTGTCTTGGTTTGAAAGACAGGTGTTTTGCCAATAAAGGCAGGGACCCTCCTTGGAGTGGTGGATATGACCCCCCTTCCCTCTGACTTATTATAGCTTTGAAAAAAAATCACGGGCTTCCAGGCAAGAATATGGGAAAAAGGGAATAACAGTTTTATTAATATGTATAACAAAGTGAAAATAAGTAATAACAACAATAGCAACAACCAGCCCAGCCACAAACCCAGTGACAGCCTCACCCAGAGATGCTCACCTGATTCCCTGGTGACTGCAGGAGCGCTGTGGCGCAGGTCCCGGCTGGTTCAGATCTCCCAYGTGGCCAAGGAGTGGCACAAAACCGGCAGAGATGGATGGAGGAAAAAAAAAATTTCCTCTGCAAACTCACAGCGGATACGCCGATCTCAGTGCTCCTTTAACCACCGCATCACAAATCTCAGGGGTCCCCGGCAAGGCACTGGGGCAGAAGATCACAGTGCAGCAAAACAGGAACCAAAGAACAGTCGAGCTCTGCTCCACAGGTAGCAGACCAACCAACACTCTGAGCCAAGCAGGGCAGTGTATATATAGTTACCCGCCACCACCACACCCACACACACCCCCTCCCAGTACTTAGCAGGATCGTTTGGGTGGGGTGTAGGTCCTATTGTCTTTACTAATTGCCCAGCCATCAAAAGGATGACCTGGCAATCAGTGTATCCCAGCAACAAAATGGGAAAGAAAAATTCCCAAGAAAGGAAACAAAAGGAAAAACCATAAGCCACAACACTGAGGATGAGCTGTGGGAAGCCCTGGGAGCAGGGGGGATGYTGGAGATGCACATGATAGCACGGGCTGGGTGAGTGTGAGGGCGTTTCTGTGGGCACAGCCTCGAGCTGTGATCCCAGCACCCACACTGAGGTGTTCTCTGTGTGACACCAGGGGTCTGCAGGCTGGCATTGAGTGGCAGTGGCACAAATCCAGCAGAGACAAGATGTGGATGGGGGATATTCCCTCGCTTTTTGCCCAGGYTGGTGTTATACACCAAAGGTGCACACTCTCAGTGCATCCAGTCCTGTGGAGCAGCAAGAAATTCCTGCAGATCTGGACAATCCCATATTTTCTGTAATTTCAACCTGCTCCTCACAGATTTAGGTCTGGATGCTCAGGTCCTTGTCTCAATTCCTGGCCTTTACTGCCTTCAGCTGTTCCATTTTTTCTTCTGGTCTGGCTCCTTCTCCTGAATTGGTCCAACACAGAAAAATACCACATCTCCAAGGATGTTCCCCCATTCACAACTTCCTGCACTTTTTTCTTTCCCTTTTCTAACAGAGTTTCTCAGTAGTTTCAAGAGCACCTGAGGCTCTTTGCAGGGACTTACTGTAAAAACCTTGACCCTGCTCTCACCCCATGACATACAGAGAGGACGCTGCCAATTTTTGTCCTTGGCTTTGTGAAAATTTACCACAAAATTTGCCTCTGGGAATCCTTAGACTGCAGAAAACGAGGTGATGTGAACTGTCACCATCATCTGTGCTCTCCCTGAGTGCCTGTGCTCTCCACTGCAATCCCAAAACAAGGTCCCAGGTGGTTGTCACCACTTTCAGGTCCCACTGAGTTATCAGTCATGTCTGCTTACCAAGGCAGGTGCCAGAAACTCTTTCCTTGGCTGGACATCTGTCCCAGGCCAGGCTGTCATCAACCAGCAAACAAAAACAGCAGCGGAAGCTGGAGACAGCACAAGAGACAGAGATTTACCTGCAGAGTGGCTTTCAGGGCACCTGCAGCTTGTGTCAACCTCAGCAGCTGCTGCTCTGCAGGATTGGAACAAAAGGATGTGTGACTGCCACACATCTGATCCCTGGGGCCATCCAGTCCTCACATCCTGGTTTAAAATACATGGAATGCAGAGAAAACACTGGAAAAGTTGTTAAATCTGGCAGAGCAGGTGGGCAGCAGAGCYGAGTGCYRGCAGCAAAATGAGTTTGGTGAAGGKTGTGGGGTGWKKGTGCMCSARG